GCGGTTGAGGCCCAACAACTGGGCTCAGTGTAGGGTGGGACAAGGAGATGGAGGGGCAGCATGGGCCACTGCAAAGGCTTTAAGTGCCTTGCTAACACGTTAGGATTTAATCTGTAAACAGTGCAGGAAGGTGTTGATTAGAGGTTAAGTTTCACTCCTGTTTAGCTGGGTAACCTCAGATAAGTTACTTAACCTCTGTGACCCTGAGTTTTGTCATCTATAAAACTGGAACTGCACAACTTTGCTAGCGTATTACAAGGAATAAAGAGATCATGGATAGGAAGTGTTCGGCAGGGTGCCTGACACACCATGGATGTTTAAAACTGATAATTCATATTCCTGGTGGTTAATGTAAAACTGCACTTCTTACAGAAAGAGCAACTATTTAAGATATTTTCACAGTACACATAGTGTGAGTTATTAGAGCACCAAACCCAAACCCAAGGTTCAAGCATGTTTTCTACAATGTTAAGTTATAAACATGTACTTTATTCCTGAGGAGGACCAATTCATGTATCGATCTACCACAACTTGTTTATTCATTCATCTGTTGATGGATACTTGAGTTATTTCTAGTTTTTGTCTATGACCAGTAAAGCTATGAACATTCATGTACAGGTCTTCGTATGGATACATGTTTTCATTTTTCTTGGGTCAATACCTATGAGTGGAATGCCTGGGTCATACGGTAGCCACATTCTTGATTTCTTAAGAAATTGCCAAGCCATTTTCCAAAGTGGCTGTACCATTTTCCATTTCCATAGACAATGAATGAGAGTGGCAGTTGCTGCACGTTCTCACCAACACTTGGTGTGTGGTCAGTTGTAATTTTAGACATTCTAGTAGGTGTGTTGTGTTATCTCATTGCGATTTTAATTTCCATTTCCCTAGTGACTAATGACACTGAACATCCTTTCATGGTGGTTACTTATCAATTATATATCTTTGGTATAGTATCTGTTCAAATCATTTGCCCATTTTTTATGAGGTTGTTTGGTTTTCTGTTATTGAGTTTTGAGAGATCTTTATGTAGTCTGGATACAAGTCCTTTACTAGATATGTGACTTCAGCATTTTCTCCATGGTGTGACCTGGCTTTTCATTGTCTTCACAGTGTCTCTCAAACAACAGATGGTCTTAATAAAGTCCACTTTATCTGTTTTTTTTTTCTTTTATGAACCTTTCAGCTTAACTCTATTGACTTGAGTGTCTATGTGCAATAAGTTGAAACGTGCATTGGCTGCTAAACAGAAGTTTCAGTTTAGCCTAGGAGAGGAAATTTATAGGTGTCAGTGAACAATATAAGAAAGTACAGATGGCATGAATGTCGAAGACCATCACTTGTACAAGCCTCCAAATGGTTACCAATCACTAACCTGTTTGAAATAAAAGAAATGAACTTACTGGGGTTAGAAAGGACCATCGCACCATAAAGAAAAAAATGATAAAATTAGAATATCATTTTTCAATAACTGCTGAAATAGTGGATCTGGGCAATAATCATCAATGACAGCTAACATCACAAATAAGAGGGACATCCAGAAATTATGCACGCCCTAGAGAGGTACACAAGATAGCCTATGAATTAGCCTGGAATTGGACTATCAATTTACAGGAATTATAGGGCGCGGAGCAACATAATGAATGACATGTGGGTATCCGATTAGCAAAATACAGGCTGCCGGTAACTCTGCAGGACGCACAGCTCAGTGTCTTCAATACACAAACTGCAAGAGAAGACAGGGAAGAAGAAATGAATGGAGGGAGGGAGGGAGGAAGGGGAAAGCTACAGATGAAAAGTCATGAAAGACATAGCAACTCATTACAATGTATGATTTTTATTTCCAACATGATTAAAAAAAATTATGAGATAGTTGAGGAAATGTGTGTCCTGACTGTTTTCTGATTTAAGAAATTGTTAATTTTTAAAAATGGGGTAGTGGTATTATGGTTATGCTTATTAAAAATGCACCTTTTAGAGGTACATAGTTAAGCATTTATGAATCATACGATGTATGATTTGGTTCAAAATAATGAGGGGAGGGGCTGGTGGGGAGAGAAGTGAATAGTGGTTTGGCTGAAACAGATTGTCCATAAGATAATAATGATTGAAGGTGGGCAATGGGCACGTTATATCCATATCTTTGTATATGTTTAAAGTTGTTTGTAATAAAAAAATTTTTTAAAGGAGATATAGGTGTAGATAACCAAGTTCTTCAAGGAGCACGTGGTCTCCAAGAAATCTTAGGAGAAAGAGAAGCATGAGAAAACGGTCCCTCTTTCCATAAGGTTTTTCAGGGTCATGGTAGCCATAGTGACATGAGAAGGCGGCCCTGAATTTCCTAAATGATGGGCTGCATCTCCTGTGCCAGCACTGTTCTGTTGTCTCCTCATACTAATTTAGTTCCTTGAGGCAAAAACTATCTCCTTTTGATCTCTAATTCCTCAGCATCTATGGTAGCACACTACCTGGCTTAGCAATAAATGTTGAACCTGAAGGTGAATGAATCAACTAATGAAGCAAGCAAGCAAGCAAGCAAGCAACCTTCTAAATACGGAACACAAGTTTAATATTTTCCAAGGAGAGTATTTTATCAAGGACTGAATGTATCTATTTGGGTTCATATTGGTAATCAATAGCTAGCTCAGCATATTTAAAAAACAACAACAACAAAAAGAAAAACCCACCAGAACTTTTCCAGAAAAGAATTCCTAATTGCAGAAGTTCTAGTTGTTCTTAGAATTACTTTTGGTTTTGTTACAACTACTAAACTGTTGGATGTAGGAAGTCTAAAGTTGGGTAAATGCAGGGCCCTTATGAGAGACTTTGATTGTCACGCCTTGTAATGGTGGGTTTAGGAAGTGAGCGCTGATTAGTTCCGATTAGCTCCTGGCCATATTTACTGAAAAACAGATGAGATGTTAGCATAGATGGTTGAATGGTGCTTTCTAATCCCAGAGAGTTAATTTCTTTTATTTTGAACAGGTTAGTGATTGGTATTATCATAATACTATACTGGTTGGCACAACACTGCCACCTATGGGGCAACAGTAAAATTTGTTATGTTACAATACATGGATTTTTATATAGTGCTATTTTTACAAAATTGCCATTCAGATGAATCCTTTGAGGAATTCTTTGGTAGGTTAATAATTACCTCTCAAATTACTCTTCTGTAAAAATCTGATTTTGGATTTGCCTAAAAAAAAAAAAGACAAGTGTGTGGAAAATATGAATTAAAACATCTTATTAAACTTCTTCTTTTTTTTTGGTAATATGGAGACCTGGGATTAAAGAGAATGAAATCATAACATTTTAAAATCTAGAAGGTCCCTAAAACACTGTCCAGATTAGCGGTCTCAGAGTAGCCCAGCACAGACTTCGATGTCAGCTCCCATATGGGCTGACACCTTCAGTTGAATTCAGTAAAGCCGTAGTGTAGTGGAAAGGGAACAGCACTGGGGTTTGGAGACCTCAAGGGTGCTGTTTCAAACTCAACCATTAACTTACTCTAAGACTTAGGATAAGTCACTTGAGGTCTCTGCATGGGGATCGTCTCATATGCAACAGTGGTCTTCAAACTTTTTTGATAGCACACTCCTGTCAGTTAAGACATTTGAGCATAACTCCCCATATAACTTAAATTTTTCTTATGATTTAAATACATGAATTACTAGAATATTATAAGGCAAAGTGTATACTTAGAGCCAGACCCGTACAGCAGAGACTCTTGAGCTCAGTGGTGAGTTTAGGTCCCAGCTCAGTGGCTTTGTCACCCTTTCTGCCTATTTCCACGCAGAGGGTTATTGTGAGAATGGAATATTAATATGTTAAATGTATATTTAAAATAATGTCTAGAACATTGAAAGCACTCTGAAAGTGTACTTCTTATTGTTATTATCATACGTATTTCTACATTTCAAGGGTCTTTTTGAAAGTTTCAGACATTTTCCTGACTTCTTGTCTCATTAAAAAGTCATGGCTTTTACCTCACTGTGTGCTGAGAAGGAGTATAAGTGTCATTCTGCCATTTTCTTACTGTTCTGTTTAGCTTGCATTTTCAGCTTCTTCAATTAGTTTTTTTTTTTTTTTGCAGGAGTCTTTAAGCCATTTGTCCATTTTATGACTGTTCTTTAATTAAAAAGTTAAAACTGTATAATAACTGTATAACTCATAAATCCTTTTATCTAGACACTTTGGAGACCACTGATTTAAAACCCTGGGGTAGCTACTCATTTCCATGGTATATTATTAAAGATTTTTAAAAGTTACAGATGGTGCAACTTAAAAAAAAAAAGTTAAGCTTTTGTAGTTGTGAGGGAAACTAGAAAAAAAAAATTACCTTTCATCAGTAACTCTAGGAGGTTGTGTAGCAGGGTGAGAAAGCTGTTCCCCCCAAGTGTAGTTAGTATTTTTAAGTTCTTAAGTTCACAGTATAGAGTCTATATTTAATGTGCAAATGGAAATTGAAAAGGGATAGGTATTTTTCTTTTTTTTAAATAAACTTTTGAAAGCAGGCCCATGCCTGACCTTCTATATGTATCCCTTCTGTGTCACAGCGATTGTTTTTATTTAATGAAAATTATAAAAGTATTAATTGATTCTTATTAAAGATTTTAAATTATAATTACATATAATTATATACTACGTACTTGTATAAAGTACATATTTATACACACACAGATTTTTACCTTAAGAAATCTTTAATTATTAGATGCTTTATAATAAGTTCATGTTTGGTAATAAACCTGATTTTTTCAGTCTGTCAGTTCATCTGCTGAGACCAAAAATACAATGGACGTTGCTTAACATTTGAATGTAGTTGGTTTCAAATATGTTCCACTCATCCCCTTGTAGAGTCAATGTAAAAATAATGTTTGTCTTTTCTTCCTGTGGGCTTTTTAAGTAGAATAATGAACTGAGGACATCATAAAACATACATGTTATCGCTGTATAAATTATGGCATGTCTTTTCAGGAAGATCAGTGGTAATTATTTTGATAGAACTTTATAAAATACTTTTATTTTTCTCTAGGTGGTTGGTTCTAGCTATTGCCATGGTACGTTTTTATATGGAAAAAGGAACACACAAAGGTTTATATAAAAGTATTCAGAAGACACTTAAATTTTTCCAGACATTTGCCTTGCTTGAGGTAAGTTTTCAATGATGTTGTTTTTCTGTCATTGTAATAGTTGTTGGAACATTTATTTGTTGAGCAACACCAATCTTATTTTGCTGATTACATACCACCTGTGGATTTGTTTAAAGGGGATGTTGACAGGGATTAATTTTAGGTTGTACGCTACTGACTTGTGAAATTTTTTTTTTTTTAATTTGCTTACAGGTAGTCCACTGTATAATTGGTGAGTTTTGGATTTAATTTTTATTTTTTGTTATTCATTGCCTTGAGGACAATGGTTGACTTGGTTTTCTTTTTAAGGAATTGTACCCACTTCTGTGCTTGTGGCTGGGGTCCAAGTGAGTTCAAGAATCTTTATGGTGTGGCTCATCACTCACAGTATAAAACCAGTAAGTGACATGAACATGTTCCCTACTTGGGCCTGCAGGACAGAATTTTCCTAAAAGGAATCCGAAATATTAACAGTGGTATATTTCAGGAAGCAGAACCATTGGACAAAAATGGGTTGGGTTTGGATTTATGTGGGATTGTCCATGGGCTCGGAGAATTAGTAGAATAACTTTAAAACCCAAGCAAACCCCAATATTAGCATTTTATTTTTATAATACACTTTCCCTATGGTGTTCTCCGGTTTTTGAAATTAATATTCATAGTCTGTCAAATAGTTCAAAAGAAAATTTTCTATGGATGTTATGTATATTCTCTTGGATTATGTAATTGAAGTTGTCAGTGTAAACAGTTCATTTCTCCTCATTTTGCATTGAGTGTGATAGCCACAGACATAAAAAAAGAAATAAATGTAGTTCTGGAGATCTGTACAGATGGCAAAGACTGAAAGTTAGAAGGGTTAAGGAACTTAGGGAAAAGTAAGCATATTATTTATTGAGGCAGACCTGAATCTAATTACTGGTTTAAACCCTTTTAGATAAACAAACGCCGTGCTTACTATAGCAAGACCTGGGGCCTTTTAAACCCATGACAGAAACATTTCCCAGATGGGCCCTTCTGACCTCCTTGACAGCCTCCGGAGTCTCATGTCTACTTGAGGACAGATCTCTGGCCTCCTTTCCATTCTTCAGATGCCTTTCTTGTCTCCTTTGCTTGGAGTGACACCTAACCTCCCTTCCATTGCTTGCGAGACGCGCCGGCCTCCTGTGTGTGGGGGGACGGATCGCTGACCTTGTGCCCTTTTATTGCTCTGTACTTCAGCCCTCTTGACTAGTATCTTTCACTCAACTTAACTCAATCCACCTGGTCCCTAACTGGCGACTGCCCTACGGATAGCAGTGAGCGCACGCCACCCGGAGAGGCAGACGTTTTTTATTCAGTCAGATAGCCTTGCAGTTTAAAAGCAGGACTCCAACATCAACAGACTGAAAGGGAGACAGTTCCAGACAATGAGTGACTAGAACAGCTGGGCCACGACCACCAAGAGCTGAAGACTGGGGAAGAAGAAAGACAAGACAGGGTGGCTGACGTTAACTGGAGAGAAGTGAAAGAGAAGCGGAAGGGTGGCTGGTCCCCAAGAGGAGAAAGTTCCGTCTGCTGTTTTTCATCCTCCAGAGGATCTCTGCCTTAATATTACTGTTTAGTTGTCTTCAACAGTGGCTTCCCACCGGCCCCTTTCCGTCACGCTCTCATTAATTTAACCAGCACTTACTAAGTGCATTCTATACACCTGGTGCTGTGCTCATTTCTGGATTTACGAAAATGAGTAAGGCAGTCCCAGCTGTCGTGTGTACTGGCTGTTGAGAAGTGAGGGACAATCAGAGAGGTTGAATCATTCAACAAATACCAATTGTGCCTCTATTTTGTGCCCGACACTGTTGCTGAGATCTGGCTATTAATAATACAAATACGGTTCCTGCCTTGTGGAGCCTATAATTGGGAGAGATGCTAAACAAGTTGTTGAACAAATAATTGTTTTATTATACAGTAATACCTTGGTTTGCGAGCATAATTAGTTCCGGAAACAAACTACTCATTGCAAGACATCGCTTATTTACCACATTAAAATGTATTGGAAATGTTTGCTCGTCTTGTGGAACACTTGCAAACCACGTTTCTCGCAATCCAAGGTTTTACGGTATTAGTGTTAGTGCTTTGAAACAAGAGACCAGTATGCCCTGAAATTTACCTGGGAACTTATCCTGACCTAGGGATGGAAGGAAAGCTCCCGGAGGAAGGGATGTGTAAGTCCAGCACTCTTAGACACACGAGAGTTAGGTGGATACATTTTGATACAAATTGGCAAGTGTTACAGGTATGAACAAAGGACTGTGAGAACAAGGAAGGTGAGCAAAGAACCACTCAGGATGAGAGGAGGGGTTTGGGAAAAGTTTTCCAGAGGGTCTGATGTTTTAGCTGGATCTTAAAAGATGCATTGCTAAAGGGTTTTCTCTAAAAAGGAGTAGGGAGTAGCATTCTAGGTAGAGGGATGTGTTGCATGTGTTAAGATGCAAACATTCAAAAGGTATTCTGAAAATAATGCAAAGTTTAGTGTCACCAGAGACGGGG